CTCATGGTATCGAGGGAAGTTTTAAATTGATAAAATCATGGCTCACCGATAGAACACAGAGTGTCAACGTGGTGTTAAATCTGAGTGGGGCTGTGTAACCAGTGGGGTTCCCCAGGCGGGGTACTAGGCCCACTCTTGTTCGTAATCTACATAAACGATCTAGACACTGGGATCAGCAGTGAATTAAGCAAGTTTGCGGATGACACCAAAATAGGGCGGCAGATTAATCAAGGCAGGATGCAAATGCACTACAGGAGGATCTAAATAAACTGCAGGTGGTCTGAAAAATGGCAAATGAAATTCAACACCAGCAAGTGCAGCGTACTTAATATTGGAAGAACAAATACTGTCAATGTATACAGCCTAACAACATCAACCTAGAGAAGTCGACTGAGAAAGAGACCTAGGGGTACTTGTAAGCCCGGACTTACGGCCTAAAAAACATTGCGTTAATGTTCGAAATAAGGCAACCAGAGTATTGGGTTTTATATCTAGAAGTGTAAGTAATAAGAGTGAGAGGTCTTATTATATCTTGCGCTAGTCAGGCCGCACCTCGATTATGCGGTTGAGTTCTGGTGCCCTTATTATAGAATGGATATCAATTCACTAGAGTCGGTGCAACGAAGAATGACGAAAATGATTCCGGGACTTAGAAACCTTCCATATCAAGATAGGTTAAAGAAACTAAACTTGCATTCCTAGAAAGACGAAGAGTGAGGGAGATATGATAGAAGTATTTAAGTGTGAAAGGGATCAATAAAGGGATATAGATAAAGTTCTTATATCCGAGCAGGATAGTACTCGGAGCAACGGATTGTTGATAAGTTTAAGTTTAGGAGGGAGATAGGAAGGAACTGCTTACAAACAGGGTGGTGGACGAGTGGAACAAGCTTATCAACTTTGTAGTAAGTGCTGTAACGCTGGAAAGTTTTAAAAGGAGGCTGGGGTAGATTCATGGATAATAGAGAGTGGTAGTAACTCTCGACAGGAGCTGCCATGCACAGGCCAACCGGCCTATTGCAGACTCCTTAGTTTCTTATGTTCTTATGTTCTTAGATAAATGTACCCCATCTCTAGCATAAAGATTTCTTCTGCCGTAAAAGTCGTCCCAGTGATTGATATTGACTTGCAATATCTGACAAGACGGCCGTTGACACCAACTGCCCTTGACAACCATTCATTGCTAACTCATCTTCTAGGCAAGACACCACATATGATAAGGATTGCCTCCCTTTATCCTAATACATTCGATAGCTGCCTTGAAATATCAAGGAGCTCCTCATTCCTACACCTGCAAATATCATTGCCTCCTGCACTGAGGCAGATAATGGGTTTGTTTCCATCATCAGACAAGATATTGTCCATCCTGTCAGCTATATCACCCACCCCAGCTCCTGGCAAACACATTCTCATCCTAGTATTTCTATTTTGGGCACAGAAAGCTCTGTCTAGGTACCGTACCTGGGAATCCCCAACAATTAAGGTTTTCATTCTCCATGTCAGTCTTGTACCATATACTGTACAAGATATGGACTCACTCGTGTCGTCAAATAAAAAAATCTTAATAGTAACGTTTAGAGAGGAAAACACTTACTGCAAATGATTGTCCAAGTCTTCTGTATTATACTAAACTCCTTGTGTATGCATTCACCTGAAGTATGCAATATATCCGCGGTGTCCTTGATAAAGGACACAACGATGCTGATTCCGTCATATCTCACGAATATTTTGGGGATATGTTATATACACTAAAATATTTTGATAACTGAAGACATTATAATTATTTTTCAAAAAGGAAAGGTTACCTGAAGGTAGGCGTGGATGGCGACGAAAGACGCAGGGCCAGAACCACCGTACCAACAGCACCATGATACTTCGTCAAATGCTGTGTGTCCGTCTGAGCTTCACAGCCCTTGCGCTTTACATTACTTGTAGACCTTCTTTGCCCCCATTCCCTTTCTTTCATGAGCAGCTGCCCATCACTTTAATATGAGTTAATGAAATTTGTGTAAGAATCTAGGCCTTTACGTAGGTGCTTAACATGTTGTTTTTGTTTGTTTTGTTTTTACGGGAATTAGCCACCCGGGCATAGGTCAGTGACCCACATCAGGGCCTGGGGGCGAAATTAAATAATAATAATAATAATAATAATAATAATAATAATAATAATAATAATAATAATAAATAATATAAAAATTACACAAAATAATACTGATAATAATAATAATAACACTGTAATAATGATAATAATAATAATAATAAAGAACCATAAAGAAATACAAAAATGAAAAAAATATGTTGTGAGAAACGTTATGATATGTTGTGTTGTCAAAGTAACAAACAATTGAAACCCTGCAATCGTATGTAAATGACGCAAGACACAATTGAAGTAACTACATCAAAATAATTGCCTTCACTACGCAATAACTATAATGAATGGTAATTATCATTTACTATTTCTGCATCATCAACCTCATCAGCTGAGGCAATTGATTTGTTTATGTGGCAGGTAGGCAATCTGCTTGGTGTCATCCTACTTGAACGATCACTTGTTTTTGTGAGTTTTATCATATTTGTTAAATTATTATATTAGGTACGTTACAATATTTTACAGTACATGACGTTACATTACGTTAAACCGCATAAAACAGACGGTCGTCAAAGTGGAATGTATTCAGCTGCTCGCCTACCTTCTATTCATGGTGGTCGGGCTCGTTACCAGGAACGCATAGGTTAGATGATTACATATATATATATATATATATATATATATATATATATATATATATATATATATATATATATATATATATATATGTGTGTGTGTGTATGTATATATATATATATATATATATATATATATATATATATATATATATATATATATATATATATATATATGTGTGTGTGTGTGTTCTGGGTATATATATATATATATATATATATATATATATATATATATATATATATATATACAGTACATAGAGATTATGTAAGGGTTAAACAACATATACAATTTTCTAAGTTGACGTTTGCTACAGTACTGAATACTATTGTCGTATATTTTTTTTTCATAAGCATCATTGACGAAAAACAGCCTCACAGATACAATTAACATTGTACCAGTACCTAGATAGCTCGATTTTTCAGTAATCCAAACCATCCACAAAAATTCATCCATGCCTCGTTGTCAACCTGTAATTCTGCCATTTCGAGAGTAAAATAACCGCACTGTTTTCATGTGTCTTGAACGGAACTGAACAAATCAAAAGACAAATATTTAATTCAAAGAATCTGTCATTAAAATTTGCTGCCATTTTCTGATTTCATCCGTGAAGTAGAGTGAAGGGGCTGGGAACAGATCAAAGGTAGGAGTGTGGAACTTCTGTTGCAAAACTTTCATCAAGGCAAGCCTGACCTAGACTGACCACAACAAGAAAGTAACTGCGTTAATCCCGGCCAACTTATGGTCTCGACTTAACGAGATAGCATCTGGACCTAAAAAAAGTCCATTGCAAGACTAGGGACTCCAGCAACCAAAAGCTCCAAAGGTCAGCGACTCTACGAGCTCTATGCGACCTCTTATGATGCATCTTGCAATTTCGACCCCGTGTTTGGGAACCGTTGCATTAGAGTATTCACTATATCTAGGAACGAGATGTACTCTCTTGATTTATCGATGACGAAAAGCACCACGATATTTTTATTTTATTTTAAACGGTGCTTCTTTTGGATTTTTTTCATGTAATCCATGATTCACCAAACCATGAATACTATCTAGCGTCATAATCTGAAGGTATTCACCAATTTGTCAATGCATTTATTTTACGTTACCAATAAAATCAAGGTTCCTATTACTCAAGTTTTTCAAGCTGATGTATTCACGTGTGACAAATATTCATTCTAAATGGTTAAGCACTAGAGTCCGTCTTTGGGTGTACAGCTAAATCAAGAAGACCCATAAATCAGAGTGATTAGCAGTTTAATGATTTTTCAGTCCTAACTAATCTTTTTTTTTTTAAAGTTGACGGCACAAGCCCCGCTGCTCTTGCATCATCTTTGATTAATATTGATATATGCAAATAAATTCATATAACTGTTAAGGATACCTAGTTTTCCACTCACTTTAATACCGAATTTAATATATGTAAAAAATACACTCTAAAAATTTTAAATTTCAAAATATGAGTGGAAACATGTTTGAAATAAAGAACATTACAATCGAAGTCACATAAAATTATTCTTTCGAAGAACAAATTATTATAATTACTGTATATATCGAGCCAATGACACCAAACATAAAGCAGCCAATGAATTTATTGAGTAAAAATAAATAAATACATACATACAGACATTTACCGAGGACAACACAAAGTATTTGTAATTCATATTTCTAGTGTTGTAATTGTCGTTCAGTAGATGTTTCTTTGGGGTAACATATAGTAGATATCATAAAGAGAACAAGAAAACGATCACCAAAATTTCAGCCACAATCTTAGCTGCGCTGCGTGATGTCACAAATCGTGTGGGAGTTTAAAGTTCTTATTTTACCGCCAAAAAAAAAAAATACTGACGCACTGGTAAATTTCTGTTGGCTTGTACTGAACTTCACACAGGCGATGGTGGTGTCCTATCTACTTACCCATAGAATCATATCTGGTAATTTTTAAGTCGTTATAACTATTATATTTACCAAGAATTCCACACTAGTGCACAATAACACATTAAACCAAGCTGATTGACCCTCCTAAGGAGATACGTTATTGCTAATTGTTTATTTACGATAATCTGTGTGTTGTACTTTCTTGGAGGAGCTACTGTCTTTTAAATGTTGTTCTTAGATGTTAACTACGACCTTCAACTACGACAGGTCTTTAAGCGAGTAAGGTTTAGTAATATACGCAAATCAAACAACAAGAAAAAAAATTTGTACCTCTTATAACTAGCAAATATATGACCTTATTTCCTGATGCTTCACACTTTGGATTATAAGAAAACAATTCTGCTATTCCAATTTATTCGATTAGATACCGTAGGACTGAGCCGTACTGTCTCAGTCTAAAGCGTATGGTGGTTAAGTAATCATACGCACATGTCACTACTTTTATGTTGGATATACGAAAATACAGTTCAGTAAAAGTCAAATGTTAGTCGCCTTAAAATTACTGATGGTAAATTTGCCTCACCAGACGACTGTGTTCTGTAAGACATGATAGTACTATATGCTAATGATAAAGAATCAGTAGAGACGATAAAGTAATCTTGGCAGACTTAAAAGCAAGAGTCTAAAGAACATTTGTATAATCATATATTGAAACATTAATAAAAATTATTATACAATAAGAAATTCTTGTTACTGAAGGCGGCGTCAGTGCCTGAAATCTTCACTTAATTAAACTAGTATAAACAATACTCTATTAATAAACTAATTTTATTGGATTAAAGTAAAAAAATGAAAAAAATGCATTTGCTCTGTAAATAACCAAGGTATACTTTGTTAATGCCCCTGGCAAGTTAAATCAGGGATGACGTCTCTACTCCGTGGCTGGTCTTCCTCAGGAGTCTTAAGATGTACAGTAACTCGGCCTGTTAAAGACGGAGAACATGTAAGATACATTTAAATAATAATAATACAACTGCAATAACATTTCTAAAAACGGACCACTGAAGGATTAAACATTTAATGCTACCTGGGGTTAAGGTTAGGTTAGGTTAGGTTAGGTTGGTTAGGCTAGGCTAGGCTAGGCTAGGCTAGGTTAGGTTATGTTATGTTATGTTACGGTGTTTAATCATTAAATCATATAAGTTGGAGCCCATTTCTCGAGTGATCGTAAAAAGTTGTTAATTTAATTATTACTCTCCTGCAAAACGTGGAGTTGATATCCCCCTCCCCCGACCTATAATATTGGTAGTGATAACAAACCTAAACTATCCTGCCATACAATGTACAGTATTATTAAGGTTTGGGATGTGCCATGTCCATTCCCTTCATACCATCACATTTGACCTGAAAACATGAAGCCTGTGAATATTCAGTGTATCTTCTTGTTTTAAGTTAACTGTTATTTAGATCCGTAAAAAAAAATATAAACAGATGTATGGGTGGAAACATGCGATATCCTGCCTAAAGCTTTACTTGATAAAATAAAGAAAAATTCTACTTACAAACAGCCAGGTATTGGGATAAAGGAAACCGTTGCTGACCAGCCATTCAGCAAGTTAGATTTTGTCTGGAAATAAAGTATTATCTCGTTGGTAACAGAGACGAACGTGTCTCCTGGAGAGATATCCTTGTCGCAGTACCTGTCACGGGGAGATAAGACCATTGTCATAAACTGTGCTAACCCAAAGATAAACTGGGTTATTTCCACAATAATATTTCTACTAGACATTAAAATTGACGTTTACAATGATACGCTATCAAATGATACTACGTTAGTGGACAGCTGTTAATGAGATCAGGTACGTGACAAAACCAGAAGGCATTAAAACCAAATTGGCCCTCGTTGATGAGAGAAAACTGTTAAGACTAAAGAAAATAATCTTAACGAAATCTGTACAAAGAAGTTTACATCCCTGGATCTGCAGGGTAAAAAAAACGGAATATAGACGACTTTAGTTTGTTGCAAAATCAGAAAATAGTCAATCACACAATGGGTATATATCTGTACCTCAACCACTGGACGCATCTAGGACCCAAACTCTCATGACCTCAGGCAAGTGTCACACTTTCCTTTGTATCAAACGATATCCGAACGTGACCTACAAATTAACTTGCCCATCGAGATCACCTGGACCCGAGCAGGCGTCTCCTTACCTTTGGCCTATCCTGTCTCTCACTGCACTATTAAGCTACTGTCTCTCGCATTCAAACTCGATAATATAAATACGACTATTATTGTGATAACTTTCTCAATGCTTCTGTATTTCAGAACACTGCTCCCTTACTACACCACCCTCATCTCCACCTCAGCAACCAGACTACCACCACACTCATCTCCCCCTCAGCAACCACCAGCCACCACAGTCCTCATCTCCCCCTCAACACTCACACCCCTACCACCACACCCCTCACACCACTATCACCACACACAATACTTACACGTCGCCGTACTCCTGACCATTAACCCTTATCTCGAGAATATCTACATAGCAGCAGGCTTGATTACAGCTGTAGGTCATGGGATACAGGTGGAAGAAATTGAACTTCAGCATGGGAAGGTAACAATCTGGCGCCCGGATTATTTTAGTGCATTTTTCATCTGTGGAGACGAGTTGATCAGTGATTAGATAGATAGATATATTTTTTTTTACGGGGAATAGCCCACCCGGGCACAGGTCATCGACCCACAACGGGGCCTAGGAGGTGAAAAAATAAGAGTAAAAATAGAAAAGAAAAAAATATGTTAATCTACACCACGAAGAAGCCGGAAAACCAGATTTTTGAAGTGAGACAGATTGTCTGAGTATGTTTCCAGCTTGGCTGTGTGAGGAAAGAAGGGTGTACTATAACGGGTTATTCTAGTGTGACCGACATCCACAGAGAAATGGTGGGCACCGCGGGCAAGAAGAGTGTTTAGATCCCACGGCCTTACCGGCGGTACACAGGATGCCAAATCCACCGAACATTGCCCATTGAAGTACCTGTAAAAGAGAGAGAGTGAAGCAACATTGCGGTGAAGTGAAAGGAAAGAAAGATTATCAACTAAAGGGGGAGAGCCACCCCAGATATGAGAGCAGCACTCCAAGTTAGGACGAATGAATCCCTTGTATACTTTAAGCAACTGCTCAGGTGTGAAGTAACTACGGCATTTTTACAGCATTCCCAGCTTTCGGGAGGCAGCTTTAGCAATGTTGAGGATGTGTGGCTTCCATGACATTACAGGAAATGGTGAGGCCTAGCATATCTATTGTAGAATTTGGCAGAATGATTGCGTCCTGTGATGTAATTGGTGGGAGATCATCTAAATTGAAAAGTGTAATTGATAAATACTAAGTTTTATTACTATTGATGTATGTTATGATATCATCTCTAGAAACAGATCTAGTCTGATAATTAGGGGAAGTGGAAAATATGAAGAAGAGTAAAGCATTAGTCGTAGTGTGAAGTAAATCATTGATAAAAAGATGGAAGAGAGTTCCAGAAAACAGAACCCTGCGGGACACCACTATTGGGAGAGAAAGATCGAGAGATTTATCCCTCGACAACAACTGTCATGGATTGGTTCTCAAGGAAGCTATGAATTAGAGAAAAAAGTGGTGGGGGGGGGGGGACCATAAGAGGAAAAATTTAGAAAGCAAAGACTTGTGCCATACTCTGTCATATGTTTATGTCCTCTGTTTATTATTTCAACTGTTTGTTTATTCATGTGTTAATGTGTGTCCGTACAGATGTATGTTAATAAGTATACATGCGTGTGAGTGTGACTTTATAGACCTAAGTATTTATAAACATTTGTATATTTTAAACTATTTTACACAGGGTGTCTATAATTTTCTGTTACACCTCACAGTATATAACAGATAAAGCAGAACAGGACATTGTGGAAATCCTGTGTTTCTATTTTTCACAGCGATTTATTGTGTCTTACTCTTTGGGTACGGGTCAGGGAAGTTAGGTGAGGTGATGATGCCCGGTTGAGTCACCACTTCTGTACAGGGCGATAAGAGTCCATCTGCAAGGCAAAACATGCTGTAGTTAGACACATACCTATCTTTAAATATATTGTAGCTAAAGCCACCATCTCTGGGTTAGGTTGATGATTTGTACTGTATGTGTGTTCTATGACTGCCTAACTGTCGAGTACAATAATGATAAAAGCTTAAATGAGACCACAACGAAAATATTCGACTGGCTACTGATTACTAGCTTACCGTAGTACCCGCCAATGATGGTCTCACAATAGTTGCCAGTTGTGCCCGGGCGACACACACACGTACAGCTGCTTCCTATGTAGCCGTCGTTGTTACACGGATCGGAGTTAAAGTCACAAGCAGTCAACCATTTGCCTGTACAAAGAGAGAGGAGCTAACTGAGTTCAAATCCCGGTGTCATGGGATATCCCCCCCCCCTGCTCCATATAGTTCCCCGAAGGCACTTCTGCGCATGCACAAGTTTGGAGCATACATTTTATCTGCATGAAATAGTTCTCTCCGTGATATAACTCCCAGCATCAAGTGGCAGTATTAGAATATTGTATCTTTACTGCCGTAAGAAATATCATAAGTAATGCGCATTACTCACACCATTATGTCAAGGGTTCGACCCTCGGCCCGGACACACGTGAGAAGGGTGTTATCCTGTGTGTTCCCACTAAACGCCACATGTTTCTCGGTCTCCACCTCTATTAACACTGGATAGACCGCCCAAACGGCGAGTAAGCTGATAAGTGGCGAGTATGATGTGAAAAAAAAAATTGAAAGGCTTTGGCAGTGATAACTAAGTGCTTACCTTCAGGCTCAAAATTCTTCGCATACTTACAAAATCCACTCCACTGATTCTTAGAGAAGTGTTTCCTAGCTAGAATTGGTAAGATGCTACTCCGACCACATAGTTGGCTCGGGCAATCCCCATTGGAGGTTCACGGCGCTTAAGAAGCACGATGAAATAGGCTTTGTGTGGAATATAACAAAGCCTAAAATATGTTTTGTTGTCCTTGTGGCTTGGTGGTAGCGATCCCTGCTCACACACATAGGTCCAGGGTTCGATTCCCGACAAGAGAGACAGATCCACAATGGAAACGTGGATAAGATAAATCTTGATAAAATCACGCAGGAAAAGGGGAAGCAATGGGGCACCTTAACTTTCGTTTTTATTCTAGAGATCTTCAGAGGAAACTGAACGAAGTGGTAATATCGACAATATTTACCTAGATTTTGCCAAGGCTTTCGACAGTGTACCTCACGAAAGGCTGAAAATCAAACTGGAAGGGTACGGAATTCGGGGAAATGTCCTAGCATGGATAGAAGACTTTCTACATGACCGCAAGCAGTGTGTGGTGATTAATGGCACGAAATCGTCATCTGCACCTGTCACAAGTGGGGTACCACAGGGCATTGTATTGGGCCCACTGTTGTTTGTTTGTTTCATAAATGACATGCCTGACGTTGTACACTCCTCCATACAAATGTTTGCCGATGACGCCAAGTTATTTCGGGAATTTAAGAACCAAGCGGACTGTGAAGAGCTGCAAAAGGACCTCTGTGGGCTCCAGGAATGGTCGAAGAAATGGCTACTGAGATTCAATGTCACGAAGTGTAAGTGGAAGCACCTGGGGCGTACCAATGCTAAGGAGGCGTATCATTTGTCCCAACGGGATGAAGAACTAGGTGAGACTGTGTGTGAGAAGGACCTAGGTGTGTTTGTTGACAATGAGCTGAAGTTCTCGGGCCATTGTGAGAAGAAGGTAAATCAGGCAAATAAATTATTGGGTCTTGTAAGAAGGTCATTCAGATATCTCGACGGTCCGTCCTTCGTAACGATCTTCAGGAGTGAAGTGCTTCCCCATCTGGTCCCCGAGATATGCTAGGGACTGTCAGTTAGTTGAAAATGTTCAAAGGAGGGCCACCAGACTGGTGCCTGCACTTCGGCACCCCAGCTACCCTGAGAGATTGGAGCGCCTGAACTTGCCTAGCTTATACTACAGACGGGCAAGGTATATAAGCATCTCGGGGGATACTACTCAGTTGAGTGTCCTTACTTGGAGCTGGCGGATGCTCGCCCCACAAGGGGTCACAGCTCAAGATTGAAGAAGCCGCAAGTCCAGAAAACCGTGAGGGCAAACTTTTTCGGAGTGAGGGTTGTAAACTCTTGGAACAATCTACCAGAGAGTGTTGTGACGGCACCGAGTGTGAGCTCTTTCAAGAGAAGACTTGACCAACACTGGAGCGGGTTCAGTTACACGAGTCGGTGCACGCCCAGTATTTGCCAACAGTGCGTGACAGAGACGTGACCGATCGCCCGGGCGGCTAGCGAGCCGATCTTTTGGTGAAGAAGATAAATGAAAAGAGACGTGACCGATCGCCCAAGCGGCTAACAAGCCGATCAGTGGCGAAGAGGATAAAAGTGAATTACAAGGACTGAGAAAGGCTTATGTACACAGGGTGACCTTACAAAACATGAGGTCAGGTCAAAAACATGACATCCACTAATCCACACACCACCACCGCAACCAAAAAGAGGAGCTTACGAAAGGGCGACGTAACTAGTCATGTTAAGTCTGTTCAAAAATATGAGGCCCACTAATCATTTATCCAACATCTACCTCAAATGCTTTCAAAACATTTTTAACCTTTACTTTTGACCAGGTGTGACCACCGCCCGTGACCACCGCCCGTGACCCCCACTTGGACTTACCTAACCATAGTTAATTACTGCCACATAGCAGTTCATCCATCAAACAGATCACGCCGAACTTGCCCCGTAAACTCACTCAAGTTAAATAGTTTATATTGTTAATAAAACGGTAATGAATTGTGTGTGAAGATTAATATTTTAATAAATATTGCTCTACTGACCATAAACTGGCTGTAAATATCTGAACCCCGGGCCACATTAAATAGAATTTCTTAATCAATTCGCGGGCCCCATGAGGCCCACGGGCCGCAGGTTGCCCATGCCTGGTGTACGACACCACCACCACACAATGTTTGGTGTATCACAACAACACCACCACCACACAATGTTTGGTGTATCACAACAACACCACCACCACACACTGTTTGGTGTATCACACCACCACCACCACACAAAGTTTGGTGGATCACAACAACAACACCACCACCACACACTGTTTGGTGTATCACAACAACAACAACACCACCACCACACACTGTTTGGTGTATCACAACACCACCACCACCACACTGTTTGGTGTATCACACCACCACCACCACACACTGCATGGTGTATCACAACACCATCACCACACACTGCATGGTGTATCACAACACCATCACCACACTGTTTGGTGTATCACAACACCATCACCACACACCGTTTGGTGTATCACAACACCATCACCACACACTGCATGGTGTATTACAACACCACCACCACACTGTTTGGTGTATCACAACACCATCACCACACACCGTTTGGTGTATCACACAACACCATCACCACACACTGTTTGTGCAATGCCAACAACACCACCACACACTGTTTGGTGTGTATCACACCACCACCACACACCGTTTGGTGTACCACAACACCACCACTCACACACACACTGCTTGGTGTATCACACCACCACCACCACACACTGTTGGTGTACTCACAACACCACTGACACAGTTTGGTGTGAACATAACACCACCACCACCACTACACACTGTTTGTATCACAACAACACTACCACACACACTGTTTGGTGTATCACAACACCACCACCACACACTGTTTGGTGTATCACACCACCAACCACCACACACCGTTTGGTGTACCACAACACCACCACACACCGTTTGGTGTATCACAACACCACCACCACCACCACACACCAAGGTTTGGGTATCACAACACCACCACCACCACCACACCGTTTTGGTACCACAACACCACCACACACTGTTTGGTGTATCAAAATCACTGCTCACCACTACCACACTGGTGTATCACACCACCACCACACACTGTTTGGTGTACCACAACACCACCACCACACACTGGTGTATCACACCACCACACACTGCTGTTTCTGTGTGTATCACAACACCACCACACTGTTTGGTGTATCACAACACGCCCACTACACTGCTTGGTGTATCACACCACCACCACACACTGTTTGTATCACAACACCACCACCACACTGTTTGGTGTATCATAACACCATCACCACACACCGCATGATGTCACAACACCACCACCACACACTGCATGATGTATCACAACACCACCACCGCACTGTTTTGTGTGTATCACAACACCACCACCACAGTGCTTGGTGTATCACAACACCATCACCACACACCGCATGGTATCACAACACCATCACCACACACTGCATGGTGTATCACAACACCATCACCACACTGCTTGGTGTATCACAAACACCATCACCACACACCCCGTTTGGTGTATCACACCATCACACACTGCATGGGTGTATTACAACACCACCACCACACTGTTTAAAAATACAACACCACTACCACACACCGTTTGTGCATCACACAACACCATCACCACACACCGCATGGTGTATCACAACACCATCACCACACACCGTTTGCGGTCACAACACCATCACCACACCAGCCAAGTTTGGTGTATCACACAACACCATCAACACACACCGTTTGGTGTATCACATAACACCATCACCACACACTGCATGGTGTATCACACACCATCACCACACACGTATGTGTATCACAAACACCACTCACCACACTGGGTTTATGTATCACAACCATCGCCACACACTGCATGATGTATCACAATGACCATCACCACACACCGCATGGTGTGTATCAACAATTCATCACCACACTGTTTCGGTGTATCGCTACCACGAATAACACACCGCATATGTATCACAACACCATCACTACACAACGTTGGTGCATTTAACACCACCACACACTGTTGGTGTATCAAGGTCAATTCTACCACCACCAATTAAAAGACAATTATATGATGTACTACTTATTAAAAGGACACATCAAAACAATTGTACATAAAGATTGGCCAACAACTTGTCATAAAACTGGAGTCCACCTCTGGCCGGAGTAATTCCTTGATGCAGTGGACGTTGGTTGTGATGCAGTCAACTTCCCATTCCATGTGGAAGTACTGATACAGCAGAAAAAACAAGCCATTATGGACCAAACGGATGATTTTATAGTATACATGATTGAGATGAAAAAGTTTTGCTCTACGGAAGACATATTTTTTCTGGAACTTTATTTTCTTTATTCACATTAACTTCTTTCTTATTCCAAAAATCATATTCGTTAGCTAATGTATATAGTGCACTCACAAAATATGGTGACATAATGGAAGAAATTATATATTTTATGAATAAATGC